AATATAGGTGTTTTGACTAACGTTCTGAAACATGGTTTGGAAGAATCTCAATAGCAGATCTTGAAATATGGTTTGCAAGAATCTCAATAGAAGATCCTGAAACATGGTTTGAAATAGTCTCAGGAACATATCTAATTGACTACTTTACACCATATCAAAGTCGAAGCGTTCAACAAACTTCAAAGACTTAAAAGATTTTGGAAACCAAAGACTTGAGAGGGGTCTTAGTGCTATCAGCAACCACCTTCGACAAACATGCAGTTGTTAGTCGCTAAGAGTAATTATGAACATGAGATAATGATTTTCGACAATTTTTAAGTTCTGCCAATGTGGCAGTGCATTAGAAGACTAAGTTGCATGTTCTTGAAGATGTATCTAATTTCTAAGAATAAGTTGTTTGAGACATCATATCCTATGAATGGATCAAATCTTTGGATATGATGTCTTAACCCAAAGATTTGATCCATTCACAGGGTAAACCAAAGATTTGATCCACTCACTTAGCAGATCCTTTAACTTTTGAAACCTTGTCACATTTGTCTTTCTGTTAATGGACGTTAGTCAAAGTCAAAAACAGATGCCAAGTGTCATGTTACTAGATGAAGAGGATATGTGACTCAAGATACCTTTAGAAACGTCGTGTTGACGTGGATATGTGACTCAATATAATATCAAGTAAAACCGTGTTATTGTTCATAACGAATGAACCATAAGCAGCTGAAGATACACGAAGGTGATTGAAGACAAACCCTAAACAGACGATGAAATCTAGAGAAGTGAAGGACTGAAGAAGAAATTTTGATCATAGGTAAGTATTATCTTCATGTTTTCATAACTGAAATAGGGAAAAATTTAGGGATTTCTGTAGATTTGTAGATTTAGGGGTTTTTTTTGTAGATTTGGGGCTTTTAGTGTTTTAGGGATTTTACATACTCTATTTGAAACTCAGTATAGGGATAATAGACAAATTTCTGAAACTACAAGTTCATCACAATGGTGAATTCATTGATCCTGAACTAAATGTATATGAAGGAGGACTAATAGATGATTTGAAAGTAGATGTTGATAAGTGGAGTTATTTTGAGTTAGTTGGTGTATTGAAAGAGTTAGGTTATAGGGACTTTGAGACAATATATTGCAAGGAACCTACATTTGGGATGAATGTCATTGTTGTGAGAAAGGTGCTTTAGAAATTACAGATCTTTATAAGGTGCGCCAAAGTGTTGATATCTACATTCAACACACTTTGTCTTAGCCTGATTATTGTGATGATGTTGTTGATGATGTTGAAGAGGGTTTTGATAACATTGTAGATGAGGTGGAAGAGGGTCTTGATAACATTGATAGAACAAACACATTCACCAACTTATGGTTTATCAGGTATGAAACATTGGTTATTAATGGTACTTATAAAAATTATAATTAAGGTTAGTACTGCTATGCTAAACATTTGTAGGATGCCTGATGAACACATGTTTGAAGTAATACATGTAGAAAACCCATCAGAAACATTCACTATAAATTTGAAAGACTACACATGTTCTTGCTGAAAACAGGAGCTCACATGACTTCCACGTGTTCATGTTATCAACTATGAAAAGTAAGATCTTTAACACTAATGATTATATCCCTGAGTATTGCAGGAAATCTATGTACATGGCAAGTATGTGATTTACCTTGTGAATAGATCAAATCTTTGGGTTAAGACATCATATACAGACGTGTAGTCACCTAAGTATAGAAAGATGTCTAGAACACCAAAGAAAAGGAGGAACCATGAACAAGGGGAGATTGATGGGAATGGCAGAAAAATGACAAGAACATGTTTCATAAAAAAAGTGCAGTAGGTGCAAAAAAGGACATAACAAATGCAACTCAAAGAAGTAGGAATGTTACTTAGTCAACTCAAGGGAAAAGGCCAACTACACAACCAACTAAGTCATCTCAAGGTAAGACAAATCCGACAACTCAAGGATAAAGGCCATGTACTTCAACCAACTATGTTATCTCAAGGAAAGGCAACTTAATAAACTCAAGAGAAAAGTCAAGCTACTCAAGGAAGCTCAAGGAACTCCAACTCAAGGCAGTGCAACTCAAGGAAATGGCAAGACATAGAAGCTAGCTGTAAGAAGACCATTTGTACCCCCAAGACCAATAATAAGATTATATGCAGCCATGAATGTAGTTGGCCCAACAAGTAGGAAGTCTACTCCAACCAAGAGAAGCACACCTAAGAAGACATCTAGTGTTGTTTAGTCCTTGTTTAGTTAATGGTTTTAACATGTATTTTGAATTATTTTTGGTATTATGTAATGTATCTAGAACATGTTTATGTAACATGTCAATGTTAGTTTAGAACCTTTGTGGAATTCTGTTATGCCTTGTGAACATGTCAATGCCATTTTATAACCATTTTGGAATTATGTAGTGTGTAACGCAAATCAATTTATGTATTATGAAAATCATTTTGGAATTCATGTTATGTGAACTGATATTGTAAACTGATTTGTTTATGGAGTGTTACAAACAATATTCTGCAAAACAAACCAGCTCATATTAAACTGATATTGCTAATAGACACAAACTGATACATACTAAGTCATACGTACAAACTGGTGCATACTCCTAAAATATCCTAAAAAACAATACACATAAGATTATAAGAACATGTTTTTTCCGCTTCAAGATCTTGTTCACCTGAGTTTGAAGTTTCATCACAACTTTCCCTAATTCTTTATTTGTCTCCCTGACTTTTTCAAACTCCTTTTTGCGTAATCAATTTTCTTTACAATACATTCTAACCTATTCATCATAAATTTCCCCTTCTCATCTTCCAAATCCTCATGAAACCAATTGAAAAAACCACACCCTCTTTACAAGGACTCTAAAAATTGCATATATGTATCAAAATGAGTTTATCACATTTAGACATAAATCAAACTAAAATTAGGACTTACCTAAAATTTTGGACAACCCAAACATTTTTTTCCAAAATTCTTATATGTTGTTGCCATACAAATCACAATTTTGTTCCCACAATGACATTTTGGTACCGATCGTGAGTTTGTGTATACACTGGATTCACAACTTTCAGAGTTATTCTGCTTTAGAAACGAAGAACATTGGTTGGACCTCATGCTTCGACGAAAACCCAAATAAAGAGCACAATGCTAAGGAAGATAAAAACGATGCAGATAAAGTGAACGGAGATGAAAACAATGCGGATGATGTGAACGAATATGAAAGCAAAAATGAAAAAGAATATCCACAATGAAAATGCAAACGAAGATACGCTGATGAAAATGATGTTGATGAAGTTAAGTAATATGACATTGCCAACTCAGTTGTTACGTAGATTAAATAAACAGACATTTGGGGAAAACAGACGGAAGAGACTCTTATGCATCTATTACAAAATTAAAAAATTAAAGTGACAAAAAAAATTAAGGGACCCAAGTGACCCCGAGGGTATAGTTAAGGGACCAAAATGATATTTTGCTTTTATTTTAATTCAAGTTTATGTATCTTTAAAGTTTATCTTCACTTTGTTTGCATACAAACATCCACAATCACTTCACACACATACTTTCTTGTACACACATTTTGCACAAATTGCTTTCAAAATTTTTTGAGTTAATCTCATAGACTATTTAAACTCATAATTGTTCGCTAAAAATACACGCAAAGAGAATCTCATTAGCTATATGCGAAGTAACCTTAATAGTAGTCGGAGCACCTAACTTCGCTAGAGTCGTAGTGTAGCAGCATCAACTTTATCACGCAACTGAGAAACAATCGTGCTATCTGATCCTCATTGAAAAAATAATCAACCTATCGATTTAAGAAAAAAAATCAGCATTTTATCAATTTTTTGAAAAAGCCGATATAAATTAATACATATTTCCGCATTTTTTGAAATAACCCATATATATATATATATATATATATATATATATATATATATATATATATATATATATATATATATATATATATATATATATATATATATATATATATGTATTGTTTCCAATTTTTTCAAAAAATATGATAAGATATTTACATTTTACCAGTTTTTTTCCCATTAAATCCGATAAAAATGTATTTTTACCGACATTTTCCTAAAGTGCGATAATAAATATGTATTTTATCGGTTTTTTCAAAAAAATCCAATAAAAGTATACACATCACATGAGTTTTTATTTTATTTTTTTTAAAACGCCGTAAAAATGTATGATTTCATATTAAAATTCCTATTTACTTGTCATGAAATTCGAAAAACTGCAGTAAAGAGCTTTGAAAAATCCTGTAATCTCCATAGTTTTTCAAAAATTTGATACCCTTAAATACTTTTTGTGAAATGAATTATAATATTATACAAGACTAACAAGGTATAGTATATGGTGTGGGGGTGTGAAGTCAAAAGTACATAGGTTGCTGGATAAACCATCAAAAAGTAATTGAATACATCGAGGTGTAGAGCAAAAACCCAAGCCCAAGATCTCACGGCCCAAATTCATAGTGCTTCTTCACCCTAGGAATCTAAATCAATGAATGAAAGCTGGAGTTTCAACTGCACAAACTTCTCCGCCATACTGTATCCGATCGTTGGCCGCGTAATTTCCCTTTGCTCTGTTTTAACCGTTCATTCTTCTCCGTCGGAACACGGCTTAGGGCAAAAACACTGCTTTGCTCCAAAGAAAGAGAAGCATGGGATTAAGGTGAACAAACTTAATTTTACTTTTACTACAAAAATATTATTGCAACTTAATTTATCTTCAGTTTAGTAACATAAATAATTGTATTTATATATATTTTTCTGAATGCTTTGATTCTAATTTTTACATTGTGTTTTTTTTAAAGTATGTTTAATTTAGACGGTTGCGATCAATGTAAAAATTATGGGCTTGATATTAACTTCTTAGAACTCCAAATTAGTCCTATTGAAGATTTTTTTCTTACTTTTTTGAAATTTGAAGCCTTATTTGTTTTAAATAACAATGGACCTGGACAAGCTGAGACGAGGCGACGCTGCCATCGATAAATGTTTAAAGGACTGCGAGCGCATGATTCAAAAGAGTCTCAACAATCCATTGGTGAAGACCTTGAGGGAACAGATGGAGAAAGCCGGGTGTCCTGTTAAAGACAATTTCTTCAAAGCTATGATTTGTTTCAATTCTTATGGTGGCGTTTTTACACCCGGTAAGGGGATAACTGTGTGTGGAAATAAGAAACAAAACCAAGACAATGTTACGCAGGTGATAATTCATGAGCTAATTCATGCATTCGATGACTGTCGAGCTGCAAACATGGATTGGACTAATTGTGCTCACCATGCTTGTAGTGAGATAAGAGCTGGTCATTTAAGTGGTGATTGTCATTATAAACGGGAACTTCTGCGAGGTTTTCTGAGAATAAAAGGGCATGAACAAGAATGCATCAAAAGAAGAGTTATGAAATCTTTGGCTGCAAATCCGTTTTGCGCTGGTTCGACTGCCAAGGATTCTATGGATGCTGTATGGAATACTTGTTATAATGATACAGCGCCTTTTGAGAAAGTTCCCTAAAATTTTTGTAACCATTGTTTCCATTCTTTGGCTTCATACTTTCTAAGGTGAGATCTCATTTCTTATTGGTTTTGGCTTGCCATCTATGGATAATGAAGAACACTTGTAGTGTACATTGAATCCAACATTGATTGGTTGTTACAGGACTAGTATGATATCGCAGCCATTATGGGGGGTCTCAGCATTATTTGTGCCAACCATATATCCAATAAAAAGACTCAAATGAAGAAAATGTTGATCTTTTGTACTGATATGACATTAGAAGTGATGTTCATCCATGTCAATTTAAAAAACATAGAACAATGCAAATGTGAATGAGAATAATACATTGGTGTGACTCATGGTCACACTTATATATGAGAGAGAGTTATAATTGTTCTTGGTTGATCCAATGAGAAATGCATACGGTCGTTGGATGAAGATCAACTAGAGGTGAAGACGAAAGATGTGCACTTGTGTGATGTCGTATAGCAGAGGTACACTTGTTCGTCATATGATAGATACTTCAATTAGATTGGGCATCTGAAAATTAGGTTGGTCTTCCTGGACCTTTGGTTAACGCAAAACACTTAGATCATTGAACCTTGTTAGTGTTTATAAGTCCAACTACTCTTCTATGTGTGTGTAGTTCTAAAAAGTGGTATCATTTATGTGTGTGTAGTTCTAAAAAGTGGTATTAGGAATATGGTTCCATGTGCTTTTTAGGGCGGAATTCTCACAACTTCTTGTTATGCGCTTAATAGAAGTCCAACCAAGAAAGTAGATATGGTCCTAGAGGCAATATGGTTAAGTCACGTCCCATTTGTCAAGCATTTGAGGATCTTTGAGTCTTTATGTTTCAAACACATCTCAAACCAAAGAAATTTTTTTTTTTGAATATAAGAGTTAAAGATGATGATTGTAGGGTACCACACTACAAGTTCACACAAGTTATACAATTTGGTGACCTAGAGGATTATTGCAAACATAGACGTTACAATAAGTGAGAAATGACGTTCGGATTAACATAGTCAAAATATTGAATTATTTTCAAGTGTACCATTTGTTTTCCATAATTACCAAAGGGAGCCTCGTATACATTAAATAAGTATTGTACAAGTAAGAGAAAGTAGAATATCTTAGAGGATTATATTCCCAATTAGAAGCCTCCAAAAATGTGTTGTTGTTTTAGCTCAGATGATCACACTAAAGGAAGACCTAGTGCACCCAGCCTTATTTGTTAGTGTTGAGTCGCTAAATTATGTAGAAACATCTACATCCTTTGTGTTGATGACTGCTATAAAGAAGTGACATATTGCAATTGAGGTTATAAAGAATAATCAAATGTGGAATCTAGTCTCCTTACTAATAAAGAAGTGACATATTGCAATTAAATGGGTCTACAAAGCAAATAAGTTTCAATGGTTCCACTGCCAGATATAAAAGCAAGACATGTTTAAAAGGAATTCTTACAAAAATTTGTCCTCTACTTCACAAAACTTTTTATACCAGTGGCTAGAATTAAGAGAGTCATATTAGTGGTAGATGTTGCCAATTTCTTGCAATGGAATCTTATTTAACTATATGTAAAGTATGAGTTTCTCATTGGCTAGCTTGAGGAGAAAATTATATTTAATAAATCCATATATTCATTGTGAAAGGTGAAGCAGATAAGGTCTTAAAGCTTAATAAGTCTGTATATGGCATAAAGCAAGTTCCAGGTTTCTGAAACAAGATGAGTTATGATTTCTTATAAAAGATTGATTATTCTAAGTGTATAGTTGAACATAAAACACATGTAAAAGAATTGAATCAAGATAACTTCAACATAACATTCCTATATGTGAATGATCTATTTATCACAAGAAGCAAATACTTAGATATTGAGAATCTAGAATATAACATGAGCATTACATTTGATATAAATGAGTTAGGAGTTCTAAGTTACTTAATTGACCTTGAATTTTCTACAACCATGAAAAGCCTGATAATTCATTAGAGGAAGTATATGAATTATATTCTAAAGAAATTTAATATGTTGAACTGCAACTCAAGTATTCCTATGAAAGAAAATTCAAAATTAAAATAATATGAAGATGGACATCTTATTCATTATTAAAAAGTTCACTTTTAGTGACCGATTTAATAATTGAAATTTTTTGGTCACTTTAGCCACCGAATTAGCCATTAAACTTTAATATTATGTTAATAAAATATTTAAAGTCTCTAAATCAGTCACCAAATAAAGTTAATAATCGAAGTAATGACCGAAATTTTGTGACAGTAATATTCAGTCAAAAAATATATTTTTTTACAAAATAAATTTACTAAAACATATTCAGTCAAAAAATATATTTTTTTACAAAATAAATTTACTAAAACATTTCAGTGACCGAAATTTCAATGACCAAAATTTCCTTGAATTATGTTTGCAATTCCATATCAGATATATTTAATTGTGCAGGTGTAGTGCACAATATATAAACAATGATCATGAGATCATGAGATATCTTTAGAGCAACAAATCAACAAAATTACATAGTTCACCGAAGGAAGAAATACATTAGAAACTAATTTTTATTATCTTAAAGATTAAGTAAGGAAGGTCAAGATTACTTAGACCATATTATAGAGCAGAGGATCAAGTAGTAGATGTTCTAACCAAACTCCTCAGGATAAAAAAAATTCAAAGAGATGAAAAACATGTTCACTATAATAAATGTATACACTTTGAATTTGGGAGAGTGTTGAAGTGTAATTAAAATATAAGTAGCTAAGTTAGTTAAGTTATTTGTTATACAAAGAAGTACATAATTAAGTAAGTTAGGTGGATGGACCATATTAGTGTTTGTAAGTCAACCTAGTGTTCTACATATATTCCACATTGATTCATTAGTGAAAGTAACTCAAGTGTATCAATCGCATGTAAATGTGAATGTGTAGTATATAATACACACAAATTAGTTCCATTTTTTTTTTTAGTATAGTTCTAACAAGTACAAAAGTTTATATAAAAATGATATTATAAAACACAATCGAACAAATTGAAACACGGTGTGTTAGGAGAATATAGATAGATAAACCAATTTCATTGCATCTCGCCAATATATTTTTCAACATTTTTCAACAAAAATTATTTAGCAATGCCTCAACCAAAAAAAAAAACACCATTTATTTAGCATTAACACCAAAAAGATTAGAATCTGAAATTCGGTTTGATTGGAACAAGATTTCATATACAATTTTGAGACAATATGCGAGGCGATGTGATAAACTAAAAAATTACAAATAACCAAAAAAAATTCCGTGTCGGGCAAAGACTTGAGACTTAACATCCCGTGCTAATCATAGGTCCAATAACGCAAGACTATTTGTTCAACCTGTTCCACTAAGTTTAATGTACAAATACATTCACAAAGGATTTTCAGATACAGAACCTCTAATCTCCATTTCCATTACGCTTATGTAAGTAAACTGACTTGAGCGTTGAAGTTCTATTGAACCACCGTACTGGATACTAGCAACGCCGATTCAAGATATACACTGAATAATGAAGTTGATTCAGGATCAACGTCTCCAATCCAAGAAATATCGTGATTGCAACTTTCAATCTAGGGTATCGCATAGCAAAACCATTCACGAAGCTTCGTTTTGTCGTAGATTGTGCGACTTCTTCCATTTATGGTTCCGCAATGGAGCAATAAGTAACATAAGTACTACCACCGTTCTTTTTTATAAGCGACAAATTACTTTTTTAGTTCATTGAATAATTAATGTATCTAGTCTATAAACTGACAAAATACATTAATTATTCAATGAACCTAAAAAAATGAGACGTCTCTTATATATAGGAACGTAGGTAGTTGTTAACATAGTTCAGTGGAATGTCACCTACGTCTGAAAGACATCTACTCAATAAAAGAAAATTACCTAATTAGTAGCCAATAGTACACAACAGTCTCATATGAACTCTTTCGGTTCATTACCATTTTTTCTAATATCACGAATGAATTTCAATCAAGGTTCTCCATGAATTTGAGACTCATCTCACTTTTACTTAAATACTCTCCTATGTGATTTCAAAATTACAATTACATGAGGCGTGATAAATCACAATTATAACCAAATATTCTACCCTTCTAACTTAAGAAAGATACCTAAAAATAGAGTCTCAATGGAAACAAGAAAATGATACACTAAATTTTTTTAATATATGAGTCTCAAACAAAGAGAATCCTCTTTTTAAATATCAACAAAATCCAACTGAAAAATCTAGCGGGGTTTTGACACAAATTGATTGACTTTCAAAAAATGCAAGATGAATCCTTCTTCATTAAAGGCAATTCTAAATCTAGATGAAATTAAATATTTCTCTAATATACATAAGAATTCCAAAATATTTTTCAAACAAATTCAGAATAAAATATTTTTCCAAAAAAAAAACATTAATCAACTCCAGATTTGAAAAATAAAATAAATTTTGAACCAAAAACATTGAACAGAAATTCAATCACTTAAGGTACGCGCACCAAAAACAGAACGAGGTAGAATATCTCATACTAATTCAAAACATCTTGCCTTTAAAAATCGTCAATCAAATGTAATAACAAACTCTCCATGTAAGATATTACGCACATTTTTACACACAACCTTCCAGATCAGATCTAAGAACACAAACACATTAGAGATCATTGCGAAATACAAGCAAAGCATTTTAGCATTAACATCAAATTACAACATAACTCGAAAGTAACATGCATTAGCAGCAATAACCTTACAAATGTCACATCGTATAACAGAGGACCATATAACATTAGCAAAATTTAGAATGTCTTATTCTCTCCATATTTACCTCAAAAGAGACAAAGGTAAGAGGCCATTGTCAGCCACATCTGGGCATACAAAACAGAAATAATATCCAGCTACACCTAGGCATAAAAACATCATCAAAGTAACATACTATCCGACCACACCATGGCATACATCTTTAAAAAAGTTAGAGAATCCAACAAAAACAGAAA